ACCAGACCAGACATAATAAGCTGCTCCCTGCTCATATTTTATACTGAGGTGACGTTGCAGTGAGTTGCGCGGATACTTGCGTAGATGCCCCCGCACAGCCTTGGCCTGTATCTCTGGAGATGAGCGTGCATGCCAATAGACCTGACCCACTGCCACCTTACACTCTCTTACCGCTGTCTACATCTTGTCATAGGAAAGCACATGATTCATACCAATGAATGGATCTCAGACAGAGGGAAGGGCTTGCGTGGTTCTACATGATAAAACCACCCCTCATCGCTGGAGTGTTTATTTAAGCTACGGAACATTATCGTCTCAATTAGAAAATGTGTGAGGTTAAAAGTGTTATTCTAAGGGAAATATACTTAATGCTTTGTTGATGGTAATTAATAGTGTGAATTAGCTCTCAATAAGTAAAATTGGATTGTGGAAAAAAAAAAAAAAAATCTGGATCATTCCCGTCAGCCCACACCGCGATGTCGCCATTCATGGCATGTGTCACTGCTCAGCCACCTTGAACTAGAACTGCTGCGTTTGATGTGACTAATGCTTTTCATCTACCCCTCTGGTAGGTGTGAGGATCGCTTGTGTCACTGTATCATAAAGCAGCTGTAATGATTGCTGTGATTAAGCTGCCTTTTAACTAGTTCTTTCCCACAGCTCAGGGGACCCGATTAATGCAACTGAGATTGACTGTAGAACTAAAACCTTTATCACACGTCACACAGATACATTTACAGCCGTTAGAATTGCAAAGGTGGCACAAAAAAACAGGGAAAAAGAATAAAATACTGTGAGGATTCTTTGAAAGTGGCAGCGGTGCGACTAACCCCATTATTTCCAGCCTTTAAGCATCTGGTCTAACGTGACCAAATAATTTCTTAATGTCAATTATTCCAGTATCACACAATCGCTGTCCTATTCAACACTAGTACGAGTACAGTGGGAAATTAACCTTTAACATTTGCAGGATGATATTTCATCAGTAAACCTTTGTTAAAAAGTGACAAGAGGCCATGTTGCTGCCTCGTACTATGATTATAAAATTATTAGATTTTCTACCCTTTGTGTCACATGTAATTTAGTGCACTTAATTATTGCAAAAATTAGAGAAATTTCATATCTTTTGAGGGTCTGTGTGCCTGTAGCATCAGTTAACTCACTGCCTTAGCTCAGTTCCCAAGACAATCATATCATTAGCTGATAACACATTTATAACAGACAACCCTGTAGGAGGCTCTTAATACCATCGCACACACTCTTAAGGTTCTTTTCACTTCACCAGAGAACAGTTGCATCAGGGTCATGGCCAAGCATTACAGAGAGAAATGGCAGCCTGTCCTCGAAGATCCACTCCTTTACATCAGGGCTCATTTTTTATTTAGAAGAACCCGTCACAATGGGTGTGAAGGGTGACACTGCTCGGAAAATGAGGTCAAAAATATTCATATTTATTGTCAATGATCCCTCTAAATCAGAGTGTTTTTTATGAGCAGTGGAATTATTAGCCAGTGATACAGACTTAACTTGTAAGTATGAAGCTACGTCAGAAGACGGAACACTAAAAATGAAATAAGCCTTATTTACATTAGCTTTAATTTAACCTGTGCATGTGTTAGGGACATTAACTAGCACTATAACTGACTGGGGGAGAGGAATGGTAACTGTGTTTATTAGATGCACAACCATATGAGGCATCAGGATCCTCTCGTACTGCCACTGATGGCCAGCAATTACTTATCCAGCCGGCCAGTAGCAAGAAAGATATTTCTATATTGTAAAAAAGTGGTTAAAGTAAACAGAAATTTTACATAGGCATAAATATAGTAATAATATTACGTGCTCTTTCTTCTGTACTACGTCTTTTATTATGAAAAATAATTATTAGATTGGATTCAACTTTATTGTCATTGGATACAGTAAGTATCCAATGACATGGATGTAGTTTTGTATCTTACAGTGCAGTAGTGATAGAAAAACAAACATGATATATGAAATGTAAAGCAGCAATGATATTTAATGATATGTACACAATGAACTGTAGAATGGTCTGACTATGTTATATTTACAGTATAAACAGTGAGCATACACATACAGCTGAATATAGTGAGAGTTATATAAGCACTGTAATACAATCTAATAATGTAAGCAGTTAAATATTGATAACAGGGAGCGCAGAATCATCCATTCATTAGATTTCGCAGGTTATGTTGTGGTTAGAGGAGTGATGCCGAGTATAGACTTCACGTCGGGAATGAAAACTTGTAGTATGTAGTGGTGTGTCACAGTGGACGGCAATTCTCTGACCGTCCTGATAAAGACTCGAGCGCTTCAGATTTCTTTCTTCTCTCTCCTGGTTTTACAGCTTCTATCATGTTTTGTTCGCACTCCGTTGGGGTTGACTGTGACTCCTTCATGACTCTTTCACCTAATCTAATATAATATAATCTAATCTAATCTAATACAGTGACCAGTGAGTAAATATGACTACAGTCACCACATTCTCTGTGCTTCCTGCCTCTGTGTGGACGTTTCGCCAAAAAAAAAAAAAAAAAAAAAAAATTACATTTACAAAAAATCTGAACGGTCATTTATGGAGGAAAGGTTAGAGTGTCAGCACACACACTCTTTCAAAACAAACAACAAACACACAGAGTCATTTCCAGGAAAGCATCTGAAGTGATATGAGCCTGTGTCTGGTCTCATTTTGGCAGCTGCAGTCGCTTCCCTCAATTTTCCCTTGGTATAGTTTTTGTTGTTGTTCAAATTGACTTTCTCTTTCAGTTCTTTCTCTGTTCTTTTTTTTTCTCCCCCTTTTGCTCTAGACCTAAACTCAAAATGGACACCAGCCGGGACTGCACTCAGGTTTCAATCTTGTTGAGACTTTACTGTAGACAACTTCATTTTACAAAAAGCCAGCCGGACAGCCTGATGAAATCAAAACTCTGCTGGAGTTGTGGTGGAGTCAAAGTCTCAATCTCATCAGAATTCAAGATAATCTGCACCTATAGTCTAGTGGCTTAGACCTGCCACAACTAGTCTAGACACCATAGGTCCATTTCGGCTTAAATCATTAAGTGTGACACTTTCAAAAATAGAAACAAAGAAGAAGAAAGGTCCTAAATCAATCAATAAATACAAATAGATTTTGTATGGTTCGGTTTCATCCGACCTGACCGTATCATCCATTGTCTCATTGTCAGTGCCATTTCCCATGTCCCTCCTACTGTCTGGACTGTTATGATCCTAGAAGCCTTTGAGAGGGGGATTGTGAAAGACATTGGTTTAGTAGGGTTGGGGGAGGGGGAGGATGGCTTTTGTGAGAGCTTTTCCATGTTATCCATTCAGTTATTTTTATTATTATTATTATTGTTTGGGTCCAAAGCCGACTCCTCAGCTGGAGCTTTTCCATGGGGCTTTGCAGAATCACTCCCACCTAATGGAGAACATCTGCTGCCATGCTTTTTACTACCAGGACTCACAGCAGAGTGATGTGTATGCCTGGGGTGAGGGGAGTGGGGGGAGGAATTAGCTGTGTAACTCCTGTTTTGTACTGATACACCCAGACCCCCCATAGTCTTACAATACTGTACAGTATATGCCTTGTATTAACTTTGCATGCTATATACTGAATATATTAGATCCTCCTCACTTTATTTGGACAAATTCACCATAAACAATCAATGTGATGTAACCAACTATACAGATGTTAGCTATAGCTGTCAGCTTTTTCCTCTTGTCTTATTGCTTTTGTGGAAAGTAGTCCTCCAGCTATGGGATAAGTGTAAACTTGACTTTTTTAATGCTCTTCCACATCAAAGCTTTATATCATTATGTATATAGATATAAACAGCTGCTTTATGAATATGGTTTAGGGGTGTCTTCTGTCTTTTTTTCTATTATCCAGAGTATATTTTGATGGAAGCTTCTTGGATTGATTACTTAAATGATACATAAGCAACCTGGTTAATAACTCTGCATTGTAACAATGATACAATGCTGTACCTCAGCAGCTGGAGAGACTGGAGCATTAAAGGTCCCATATTTTACACTTCTGTGTTTTATTTGAAGTGTTGATCCACAAGAAGATATATTTGTGGTTTTAAGAACCAAAAACCATCTCCATGAGTTTTACATCTCCTCTGTCAGGCTTATCTTTGAAGCTCTAGTAACAACAGGTCAGTGAGCCAATCAGAAGAGAGGAGGCTCTGAGCCTCTCTTCTGATTGGGTGACTGTTTTCTGAGTGATTGGATAAAAATATTGCAGATTTAAGGTTAAAACTCAAAGAAACCAAATCCTGGAATGGTTGGATGGTGGGTCCAGGTGGCTTGGGGCATGGCTGAAAGCTGCAACTGCTTTGTTGTGACATCACAAAGTTACAGAAGTCCTGACGGCTGGTTTCTGAATATAGGCTGTGTGCATTTCTCTGTGGGCTGAGCACTTTGATACTTTACAGTATTAATATAGAACCTAGAACCTTTTTATAATCAAAAAAGACGTGGAAATCTCACTTTCTACAATATGGGACCTTTAATTACAGGGTTGGTGGTTTGATCCTTCACCTCCACCTTATGTCCACATTGTCAGTGTCCTTGAGCAAGACACTGAACCCCAATTGCTCTCGAAGGCCTTGTAAGCAGTTTGCATTGACCACACTACTATATGTATGTAAATATGCTTTTTGGTAGGCAGCAGTAGTAAAAGCTCTGGTACTCTGGAAACCTTTGATCTTGCAATTTGATGACCTACATAATATTATATACTATGAATAGGATTTCCCCCTTTTCAGTGATTTCTGACACATGACTTCTGTGACATGACATGTCCTGTCTGACAATCTATTTTGTTGTATTGCTCTGATATTCCTCATTATACTTTTATCTAAAGAATGTAGTTGTTAATGATGTAAGCTCTCACAGCAGACAGTTGGTCAAACCACTAGTGCTCTCTCGGAAATATTAATATGTATTGTCTTTTCTTTCCCTGACAGATTTTTCTGTAGTCTGGTCCAGGGCATCTGCTACAGTCATGTTCAGGAACAGCTTGAAGATGCTGCTGACGGGGGGGAAGGCCAACCGCAAGAGTCGCAGCAGTGGTGAGTCTGTCTTCTCATGCCAGCCACAAACAATGACGTATCTGCCTGTCAGCACACAGAAGGTGTTCACTAGTTCCTGTCGGTATATTTTTAGGAAGCAGAAGATGAAATGTATTTTGGTTCTTAAAGAGTAATCCGTGACTCCTGGAGACCCCTTCAGACCTGTTTGGTGCTTAAAATAGGTCTAAACTTACTCATCATTTGAGTAGTTGTGACTCCTGTTGGGAGATCTTAAAGGCACAGTATTGCATAGTAGGAGTCTCTCAATCAGAACAATAACAAAAGAGAAGTTTGGTAACGTTGTGAAATAGCATGGGATCATGGGAGTTGTTGTCATCACTGAGATCAGCTTCTCCTGGTTAGGATTCCTTCAGTGTTGATCGTTTTACTGGCAGTTATCGACAGAGGTACCAGGTGATTAAATCTGGTAAAAACACTGAATAAAGCAGTTTCAAATTAAAAATCTGTGTTTCTCCGACAACGTTTAGTGTACATGACGTCTCTGAGTGGGTGGGAGCAGAGCTGTAGCTAACTACAAAGCTGACGTATGCACAAAGGGGATATGACGCCATTGCCAGGCGACCGAATGAAACAGACCATTACTTTGATTTCAAATTACAGATTTCTTGAGGTTTGAAAAGTGCTGGAAACGTTTGGGATACTGTAACTACACATCTCAACAAAACGTAACCCAGGTTAGACATTTTAATGCGGAGAAGTTACATATCAAACCTTTAACACCAGTTTTCCACCAACACTTGTAGCATGCTTTGACCATGAACGTCATGCTGTACTATGAAGATTTTTCCATTATACATTTACTGCAGCCAATTTCTGAGTTGCCCTTTATCATTTAGCCTTGAACAGCCATAATGTGATGCTTCCTAACTCAGCCAAGCTCTCATGATATCAGTTCAGTAGTGGAGGAGGTTCACTGGAGGTTTGTTTCACTACGTTCCTGTTCCTTCCTTCAGCTGGCTGATAAGAACCGCACTGTCTCATGATCGCTTTCCTGCGCTGTGCCGTCAGAGCTGTGATTAAAGGCATGTTGATACACTGCACAGCAAACTCAATGCTTCCTGCAGCTGTTTTACAGTAAAAGCTTCCCACCAGTGAGACACTTTTTGTCCTCAAATCACTCAACAGATCAAGCTTTCAAGGTCTTGCCATACATTTTTGTTCTTGTTGTATTCAAACATGTTTTTATCATGCCTGGTACAGTACATAGGGTGTCTGCAGGTCTTAAAGTCTTGAAAAGACACTTAGAAAGTATTAAGAATTCTTGAATTTGATTTGCTAAGGTCTTGAATGTTTTTCTTGCCTGCTGTGGACAGGCAAATTAGTTATAATCCTTTTATATCTTCAGACACATCTACAAACTAAAAGTGGGATTGTTGCAACTGTTGCGACTGTGCACGTAGGAGGCTTATCAATCCTTTATTGTAGAGTTTCAGTCACCACCTGCCTCCAGAGTTCTTGCATGGGCCTGGGCTGCTGCACTGAATGCACCGCATGACGCACAGGAGTCACATAACGTCACCTTCATTCACTGAAAATGAAATGAAGTTCTAGGATAATTCCACAATAACCGTGCGGTAATGATGGCAGAACGTTCACAGCACAACTCGGCAGCGGAGAGAGTGAGTTTCACTCCGAGCAATCTAAAAAGGCCTGTTGAGAAATATTTTGGTCAGTAGATTGTGGACGTTTTATGGAAGGTATGTAAGCTAGAGTTAGTGTAGCATTCCAGCGCTAGCAACCAGAGGGCACATCTTGAAGATATGCACCCAAATGAGCAGCTATACAAGTAGTTACCGCTCTCATTGTATTGGTTTGCGCAAAAGTAGATATTCAAATGGTTTGAACCTGTGTGTTTATTGCGAAGGAATATCCAAACATATCATTTTTGGCCAGTTTTGACAGTGTTACTGTGTGGTACACAGACCAACCTGTGCATCCCCCTTTTCCCCTACACTCAGGTGAAATGACTATTAAAAAGCAGAAGCCACGTTACTCTGGGGTCCTTTGGGGGAAAAAAAACACATGAAACCTTTTGTTCCTTCACATGCATTACTGCCACTCAAGCCTCATAAAGCTCTCACTTACAGGAACAGGGCCTTTGATGTGGTGTAATCCCAGCCAAAAGCAACACTTGGGAGAGCTTTGACCGCTCATTTTGGAATGGTGCGGCCGTTCTTATTCGAATCTAATAAGTTTCGTGTTATTGCCTGGTCAGTGTAACAGCCTCCGCTCTCGTAAGAGTCTCCCCAGGATAGGGTCTTTTATTACGGTGTGAAAATGTGCCTTCTAAGGCTTTCGTCCAGCCGCCCACTCGATTTGCACAGATGAATTAATTTTTTAAAGCCTGAAATATCGCACACTATATTATGTCACTGCCTTTTCCCTCAACTTAGCCACTCAGCGGATGTGTTTATGAAAATCAGTCTTTGCAGGTCTTTTTGCAGTAGTTTGGGAGGTTTTTGCGGTGTCGCATTGATACAGTCAATTTCACCAAGTAGCCCAAATGAATGTTTGACTCCCATTCACTGGTTTGAACCAGATGTTTTGAAATGCAGAGCAATGTATGTGCAACTTTAGCGGTTGTCATAGAGTTCTGTGGCAACCTTGAGATGTTGAGTTAAAAACCTTTAATAGCTTCACTTTAGCAGCCAGTATTCAGTTTTTTTTTAGTGTTATGATGTTCCTTCCTTCTTTTTTAGACTTCAATAAAAATTAAAAAAAATCCCTCGTTTGATGTTTGACTTCCTGGCTTATTATTTATCTCACTTGACTTAAACTCTCCTCTCCTCATGGAGCTGGGTCATCAAAGGAATTGAAGATTTTGTTTTTTACTGTTACTACAGAAACTATGTGTTGTAATTCTCAGTGAAATCACACTTTTTGTCACATTTTTCTAAACATTTACAACATTTAATTGGCAAAATATGATAACACAGATCAACTTGTGTCACAGCTTTTCACAAACGCTGCTCTAGATTCTTGGATTTTGGGTTAGCAATAATCACCATTAAACTGGTTGAACTGCTTTCATCCTGTATATATACATATACAGTGCATATGCAAATATCTACCGTTTCTTTCATGTACATTGTGGTGACCTTCACTCCGAGGCTTCAGGGCTGAAGTGAACTTGCTGCAAGCAAAACCCACCTCCTGTGCCTTCAGTGTGTTTGTGTGTTTATGTGTGAAGTGACGAGCAGACAGACCGAGCAGCAGCAGCAGCAGCAGCAGCGCATGAGTGGAGTACCCTCCAGTGTTGTGATATCTGTTGCTGTCACTTTGCGGGGAATCCACTCCTCCCAGCAGACGAGTGCTGCTCTTACAATCTGGCTCCTCCACTGAAACATCTGTATCAAGGCAGTTTCCTACATATCTGCGTGCTCCAACAGACACCACCACTTTTTTTTTTAAAGCTTTATTTAGACAGATAATTTACACTTATGTCATGAAGGTGAGACCCACCCAGATATAAATACACGCAAACATGTTTTTCATTTAGCTGTTCCGTCCCTTCCAAGGACATCCGAAGGACTGGTTCTAGCAACTCCGACTTATCAGCTTACGACAGACGGAGAGTGCTCGAAAGCCACATCCGTCTGCTGCTGCTGTGGGAGGAGCCCTCGGCTCAGAGGGAGGACTTGCCGCTCTGAGAAACTGCCCCCTGTACGTGGACGCAATGGCCGCTGAAATTGGTCTTCGGTTCAGATGTAAGATCGCGGGATAAGATGATCATCCTCTGTGTTTGATGCAGTTACAAGCAAGCTTCTGGCTTCAGGAATGGCAGAGCTCCAGAGGGGAACAGGCACGCTAATCTGAAGACAACAGATGAGCCAGCTGTCCCCTTGATCTGCACTGGAGAAATTGTTTGAGCCCCAAGTTACTAAGCCGGTGAATGGCATTTTTTAAATTGAATAACACAGATAAGCGGCTCTGATTGTGACGATGCAGACATGTACAAATCTCTGTCACGGGAATGGGGTGTTATCTTGTGGGAAACTACACTGTGCAGCCTGGTTTGTCCTCAGACACTATCATTAATAGTTTGAGTCAGTCTGTAACTTGCTGCTATTCTTCTCAGTCCAGCTACTGTGCGATTAATCAGCCGCCATTCAAGCTCTGAAGTGAATGTTCACTTGAGAGAGCCTATAATCTCACAACCTGAGATTCCGGCTGTTTAAACAAAAAGGACAAATGTCTTGGAGCTACTGCAGCAGCGGTGTTTAGATATCAGATACGCTCTTCGTCTTTTCGTTAAGACACAGATCAGACTTCAGCGTGTCGTATGTAAGGCTTTCTCTCCGACAAAAGTGGCCCATTGTTACTGTTGCCTACGGCGGTTTCATGTACAAGTATACTCGCCTGGAAAGCCGAAATGTGAACAAGAAGGAAAATGTCCCCTCATGGTCTCGGATATTACACTGACTTTCTAGCTTGAAAATAGAGAAGTGTGTCAGGCATTTGTTTCATTTTTGTGGTGTTATGGGTAAAGATTTTGACTGCCTCTCTTTCTTGTTCCCATCACCAGGGGTGGAGAAGTGGGTCTAGACTTGAAACAAAGTCAACAGCCTGACACCGCAATTACAGTTTATGGCATTGGCTGATTGGAAAATGAGAAATGGGGTTGAAAGGTTGGGGTGTGTGGACAGCGAGCTGTTGCATGACTAATACGCGCCGAGAGGGGCCCGAGTGTGGAAATCGAGGAGCAAGATGTAGTTTACGCGCACGTGCACATCCTCATCGGGAGTTGAAACTAATGTGGATTAACAAGATTTTGTTTTTGTTTTTTTTTAACTTACTGGAAAACAGAATAAAAAAAAAAAAAAAACGTATACCGGCTCATAATATCCAGCTTCACTGTTTTAACCCATGACACGTTGGCATGCCGCATCATCAGCGCTACATGGACCCACGTGGGGAAACCAAATAGAAATGCAAGTCATGCTTCACTTCACTGCACCTTATGTTTAATTTATCTCAGC